CGCCCTTGGTAATTCCCCCTGTATTATTATGCAGATATGATCCTGAGGGGTTTTTACACTAGGAGAATTTTTGAAGCCCTCCCGAGATACGTGCCGAGTAAGGAAAGCAAGCGCCAATGAAAACGGAAATACAGTTCCGGATCCTCGAAAATTGTTCTGGCTGTATGTCGAGCTCTGAGACTCATCTCAGCGGCAAGGTCTTCATTTCAAACTCAGGGATCCCGAATACACCGTCGAAAACGCCGCAGAAAGCGCAGCAGACTGCCGACCTCACTGAAGTACCGAACGGTCGTAGACGGTCTCGCGGCTCGGCCTCGGATGACTCCCGGCACCCTACTTCTCCCGGCCGCCCATCGATAGCCACCCGATTTGGTCTAATGCAGCGCCCAAGTTGGGATTCGACTTGCCAGGAACCTGCTTTTGGTCGAATTTGTTCTTTGGCTATTCCTATCCGTTCTGCTCGCTTTTTTTTCGCCTGCGCTCAGCGACCATCATCCCTTTACTCTGTCGCCCTCTCCTCGAAACTTTCGCAGGCAGAGACTGGGCGTATCCGGTCATTTACGTAGCATGACAGTCCGAGGCTTCGCCATATAAAAGGCCCCAAATGCTCGAATCCCTCCTTCTTCCCTACCACCATGAGCGTCGCTGGCTGTGTCGGTGGCTTCCGCATCCCCGGCAGTCCCGCGCGCGAGGCCCTCGAACGAAAGAAAAAGAAAGCTGCACCCGCATCCACCACCCTCCCCGTCCCAGGCTCCACCGACGCGCTCACCGGCTTCGTGAACGTCGCCGCGCCCCCCCGTTCCGGCCGGGGCAGTCGTGGCCGCAACCTGACCGCCCAAATCGCCGCCGCGTTCCCGAGCGCTACCGCCATGGCCGCCGCGACGGACGCCTTTGACCGCGTGCACCTCCGCCCCATCTCCATCGCCACCGAGCGGAACCACACCCTCGCGAAGCGCCTGTGGCTCGACTGGTTCACCCAGCTGTACCGCAGCGCCGACAAGGCCGCCGCCACGCTCAAGGAAGGACGCCGCCTTCCCCCCGCTCGGCGAGGTAAAGCAGTTCTTCCACTTTCTGGCGACCAAGGGGCGCTCGGGGCTCGGGATATCGGGCGTCACCGGCTGGTCGCTGCACACGACGCGCACCTTCGTGGGCCGCATGTTTTCAGTAGTACGACCGCTATTCTGTCCGCGTCTCTGTTGCTGATCGTCCGAGATAGCTGCGCCGCGCGCAAACGGCCCCACCCTTGCCACGCGATCGAGAAGACTTGAATGCGGCATGTATCCCATCCACGCGACCCACACGTACCGCTCACTGTAAAATATCCAGGCCGTCTCGCATTGGGCGTACAAGGACCACGCGATCACGACGCTCCGCAAGGTGAAGCGGATGGTGCGCGAGAGCGATCTCGTCGAACTCCTGGCCGTGTGCCTCAAGAGCACGCTCAACATCGCGTCCAAGTTTTCGGTGCGTGTCCGTTTCTGTGCGCGCTTGCCCGAACCTCACCCCCATTCACAGCGCATCCAGATGATGGGCCTCGTGGCGCTCATATACACGCACGGCCCGCGCCCGGGAACGCTCGTCGATGCGAACGGGTTTGAAGGATTGGGCGAGCACGTCAAGTGGAAGGTGCGCAGTGTTCGCACGCCGCGCTCCGTTTTTCGTCTTCTCATGCGAGGGTGTCCAGAACACCGAGTGGATGGTATACGGCTACGACAAGGGCGCGGGACTCGGAATCCAGTCGTTCTGGGTCTTCGAGTGGGCCAAGGGCCAGCGCTTTGACAAGAGTCTCGAGTGCGTGTCCTCCCGCCCGCCTCTTGCTCAACTCCTCATCCGCTGTACAGTATCTCGACGAGCATGCGCAACCTCGGGCGCTCGCGCATTCACATCGACGCGCAGCTCATCATCGAGGCGCTTGGTATCCACTCCGACGTGTTCTAGCAGGACCTCTTCGCGCTCCGCGCGCAAGACCCCGCGACCTTTACGTTCCCGTTTAAGCTCACCATCCGCGAGAGCGCGCTCGAGCTGCCGATCTTCCGGAACGCCGACAAGACGGACGCGCTGACGCTCAACTCGGCGACGCACTTTCTCGCCAAGATCCGCAAGGCGCTAAACTGGACTAGTATGTCGCACCAATTCCGCGCCCCGTAGCCTAATGATCCGTGTTACAGATTTTACGTGGTACTCGCTGCGCTACAGTTTCGCATCCTCCATGGTGGACCGCGTGTCCGAGGCAAGTCCCCTCCCATGCGCCCGGCTATACCCTCATCGATTGTGTCTAGGTTCATCTGCGCTATCTGATGGGCCACACAAGCGCCTCGAAGCTCGCCGTGTCGGCGTACCAAGTCCCGGACCGCCCGGTCGACGTCTCGGGCGCGCGCTTCGCTGAGGAGAACACCGACTTTGCGGCCATGTCCCAGGCGCACTCGTCCGTCGCGTGGAACCGCCCCCCGCCGCCGTCCGACGATACGGTCAAGACGGACCCGAAAATGAAGCAGTTCATCGCAGAGCTCGCCGAGAAGGAAGCCGCCGTCCGCAGCAAATTCGGCGCGGACAAGACGGCGCAGGCGCTCTTCGAAGAGGTGCGGCATACTTTTCTATACACGAACAAGGCCGTTGATCGGTGCGCGCAGGGCAACGAACATGGCTTGGTGCTCGAGGCGCGCGAGGTGCAGACGGAGATGCTGCGGTACTATCTCACGCTCTCGTCCGGGGTAACGTCTATTCGCTCCACCCCGTCTCGCACGCTGATAGTTGGCAGTTCGCCGACCTCGCGCCCTCCACGGCCGTCCTAACGCCCGCGCCGCCCGACACGCCCGACCCCGCCACCAGCTCGCTGATCGAGTCCATGATGGACCTGTGGGCCGCGACCGACAACACGCACCCGTTCCTCGCGCTCATCGCGAGCGAGCCCGACAACCCGCGGCTCGCCGTCGTGCAGCGCTATCCCGCGCTCCTCCACCTCGACGACGAAAAAACGGGCAGCCGCTGCCTCTGGTGCTTCACGGACCCGAAACTCACGCCGGCGCAGCAAAACAAGGACCACAAAGACCACTATGTGCAGCACGTCGGCAGTTGCGAGCTCGACCACCACCCGAACCACTGGCGCTGCCCGGTGTGCATCCAGCTGATCCCGGCCGTCCCGAAGCGCTCGAACACCTTCAAGCACCCGCGCGGCGAGCCGAAGCTCCCGGTGGTGGCGCTGCCGTCGATCCTCGTCGACGACGAGATGGAGGAGGAGGAGCGTGCGGCGATCCACGATGCGATGGCCGCGCACGCGGCGGGGTGCTTCGAGCGGCTGATGGCGATCGTCCGCGGGGATGAGGGGGAGGGCGCGGGCGAGTCGGACAGCGAGGACGGGCGGCTCGCGGCAGACTCGGACGTTGCGATGAATAGGTGCGTTTCAGCTTCCCATCCCCGCGTTTTTTTGACCAATTCTCGTCCAGCGCGCACGGCAGCGACGTGTCCATGGAGTAAGTATCCCCGTCCCAGGCTTCCCTTGGTATTGAGCGTTTTTTTCAGCAGCGTACGGTCGCATAAAACCCTCATCCGGTCCCAGCAGAAACGCGCGACCACCGGACCCGACCGCGGGGAGTGAGTGGTCGCCTTTTTTCCATCCGGACGATTTGCTGAACCTCTTTCGTAGCGGCGCGCGCCTTTTGAGCATCCAAATGCCCTTCGACGCCGGGCGCTCCCAAAGCCGTGCGTTGCGTTTGCACAGCTTTTTCTTTTGTCCGATTTGTCTCTTCGCCGAGGGCGATGCGTGGCATGACCGCCTCAGGTGAGCTCCCATTTCATTCATCGTACGTAACGTGTTCTTAGATCTTTTTGTAGGTCCTTCCCTAACATCCCGAAACTTATGGCGCATATTGCGACCCACTGGCGGTCGATCGTGACCCGCAACGCGATGGAGATCGATTATAAACTCAAGTTCAAATGCGGAGTGCCGCCGTGCACTTCCGATGTCGTGTACGTCCTCCCTCTTTAAACAGGCTTCGTGGCCGCGTGCTCATTTCATTTCTCGTGCCAGTCGGAAAACCGGCGATATGATCGATCACCTCCACAAAGCACACCAGTACAACCTCATCCAGTGCAACACGCACTGCGGCAATCCGACGAGCACCTGCGATCCAGAACGCTGCGCGGAAAAGCATCACGATGACACCTGCTTCACTTTGCCGACGAAATTCTGCTTCTTTACAGACGCCCTTTTGCTCGCAGACGATCACATTCCCACCAAGAAACGGCAGGCTCTTCCCCCGGCATGCCTAGTCGATTACCGCAAGACCGACGTCCAAGGGAGATGGTGGAAAGCGCTCTGCAAAACCTTGGGAATCCCTGTCTTTACGTTCACGGTTCCGGGAAAGCGACGCGTAACGAAACCCACTACTCCTGCTTCTACCAGCACACCAGCGGCGGCCCCCGACCCCGTCCATTTCACCCTGCGCCGTTGCCTCGCCGCGATCGTATCCCTACATCCCGAATTCGGCGCCGTCAATGTCGAAAAGCTCATCGACGCCGGGATCACCGCCGAGCAGCTGTCCCGGTTCCCACGGAACCTTATGCCCGAATGCGACTTTGCCTTCACGCTCCCGCTGTACACGCGCTTCATTGCAGCCGTCAAACAGTGGATTGTGAACAGCGAGCTCGAGGATGCAGTCGAAATGCTCGTGTCGGAGTTTCCTGGCGTCGTTACGCCGGACCTCGCGGTCGCCCTGCAGCGCGACAACCTCAAGATCTACGACATTCTCGACTGCTCGGCGGCCGATATTGCCGAGTATGGGCTGGTGGTCGAGACCAATGTTTGGGATTTGATTCGACGGTCTGCTGAACAATGGCTAGAGGCGCGGGCAACGGCCATGGCGATAGATTGAGTGCTGTACTTTTGTTGGTAGTGTTTTTTGTAGCTTCGATGATTCACCTGCTTTGATAACTTATATGGGCTGCAACCCCGAGGTCTGACTCTTTTGGGGGGTTCAAACATCATTTAAAGAGATAAATATAGCAGCATGGCGCAGTCTGGAAGCGCGCGGGGCCCATATTGCTTGTGTAAGCGGTTACCCCGAGGTCACTCGATCGAAACGAGTTGCTGCTAGACTGTCTTTTGATCGTGCAAGCCAAGACTCTCTTTTTTTATCTAGTGTGCTCCCGAGCTCCCCTTGGTTCACGTATAGACACTTGTTACTTTTCTTCGGCTTCATCCAATCCTGATATTATCACACGGAGCGATTTCGGGCGGAACGCTTGTTGAAAGTCGTAGGGAGAGATCCGCAGTACCGCCTGCTCATACAACTTCGATAACCTCGGGATTGTCCCCTTCTGCAGACGACTACAATGAATTTGGAGCTGACTACAAGCTATATTCAGAATCACAGCTCAACCCCAGTCATGTACGTAAATTGTTCGACGAGATTGTCAATCATGTTTGCAATGGAGAACATGTCCGACCAGAATACAACGGAGAGATTGAGGCCATAAAGTTCCTCAATCCGTTTCCGTAGTTGTGCAAACATGATAGAATCAACGCCGCGAAGGCCCAGCGGTTCCGAATCATCTATGCGAAGGTCAGACTTGCGAAGCGAGATGATGAGTTCTAACCTAATTCTTCTCCGGGGGCAATCTCCAGCACCTCTCGCACACACATTGTCAAGGCTTCTCGAAGTTGCAGACTATTCATTCTGGTGCAATCCTTGACCAATGCAGCCTCTTGTTGCGCAGCCGCGGGTTTCTCATCCGACGGCACAGGTGTATCAGAAGCCGCCATTTGCCGGGACGGCACATGCGATGGATAACGGTGCACGCGTTGGAAGGGATACGTAGGGATCTCGGTTGTCTCAAAGGACCCACGTTGAGAGTACAGCGCAGAGAAATCGAGAGTGACTCGGTGGTTTTGAAACAGTGCGGCCAAGGCGGCGAGTAGAGCGATCTCCTGGTCGTAACCTTTCTTCGCGGATAGGGCAATTGTGGCACTCGCGCTGCGGCCATTAGAGAGCAGAAGGGACCAAGCAATTGTCTGCGGCCCTATATCAAGGATTGCGCCGATAGACTTGTCCTCCTGGATGGCTGTGGCAGCCCGTGAAAACTGAACGGGCTGTCGAGCGTGATTGACCTGGCCAAAAGGTTCAGTTTGCGCCGAGAGCCTAGGGACTCATACCCAGTGCTCGGAATGAAGAGTTTCCTGCCTCTTTATCGACGTTCCCAGAAAACTCGAATACAAAGGCATCTGCAATGGGGTGAACAACATCGAATTAGCCATCGACCAGTGGCGCAGCCCAGGGAGTGCGCCATCGACACAGGGACTGTGGAAGCCCTGATCAACCTGCACGCGGGTAGCCTTGATATTATAATGTTTCGCGGTCGCTAAGAGCGTCTCGAGATCGTGCAACATGCCAGAGACAGTGACGCTCTGAGGACTATTGATTACTGAGATGTTGATGTGGTGTGCGAATTGCTCCTCAAGAGCTAACACTTCGGAAACTTTAGCCTCAGTAGAAGCAAGGGCAACCATTCCCGCAGGGCGATCGGGGGAAGGCCTCAACAGCCGTGCGCGTGTGATCACTAAATCGAGGCCAATTTCGAAGGTAAGCCCACCAGCAATAACTAGGAATCCGTTGAGCCAAGGTCAAGTCCTGCAAAGATTGCTTACCCGCAGCGGTTATCTCCCCCAAACTATGTCCAATCACGGCCCGAGGCTTGATTCCAAGCTCCTTCATCCACCGACAAATTGAATACTGGAAAATGAAGATACATATCTGGGCTGTTTCACTGCCCTCGATCTCGCCAGAACCGCTGAGTAAAATCGTGTCGACAGGTACCCCACACAGCGCTCGCGCTTGGTGTCCAGATTCTACAATGAAATGCCGGAATCTGGAATATTTCTCCGCGAGCGCAGCCGCCATTCCGGGAAACTGGGTGCCCTGGCCAGAGAAGGCAAATGCTAAGGAGCCAGTGGAGCGTATGGGCGGACTAGACCTCGATACACGGAGCTCAACCTGTTTGATGAGGTCCGGGAGGTCTGTGGCAGCGCATGCGAAGCGATATTTGTAGTGTTCCCGCCCAATGCACGTCGTATAGCAGACTTTATGAAAGGCGCGCGCATCCGCATCTCGGAGGAATAAAAGATAAAGGTCGATGTAGGCTTCGAGAGCAGCAGGACTTTTGGCACTGATCGCAAATATCATGGGGCCAGTACAGTCTGATTCCATAAGGACCAGTGACGGCTGAGGACTCTCCAAAGCAATTTCTGCCAACGTCCCGGAGAAGCCGTACGACCTGCCGCGCCCTTTCAGCTTCAGATAACTCGAGAACACCTAATGCGTACATTACCAAGGCCGTGCACGGTTTGTCGGTGGGGATTGGCTCGGGCTTCGCGGGGATGAGGAGGGGCACAGACGTGCAATCGAGCAGAGGGTTGAGGTTGTCTTCCCGCAGATGGTGTAACCCAGGTACGAAGCCCTCCTTGAACGAGAGCAAGACAGATAAAATTCCAACTAGACCCGCGGAACACTCGGTGTGCCCGAGAGCTGTTTTAGACGCGCCGAGTATCAATGGGTCGGTCCGGGAAGTCCGCGAGGAGAAGGCCTCATTTATGCCTTGCACTTCACATAGATCACCCAGGGACGTTCCTGGGAAGCATAAGAGCCATGTCACAAAAGGAGGGGAACTCTGCATGCCTGTCCCATGGGTTTCAATAAAACTGAGGAGTATTCAGTCGCTGAGCGAGGATGTTCGCAACACCACGTACTCGACGAGTGACGGATCAAGCCGGGCTTTCCGCAACAACGCGCGATGCAGGGCTGCCTGGGATTTCATATTTGGCGCCGCCAGCCCTTGCGACCGACCATTGTGTGTCACCTCGGTACCTTTTATTGTCGCAAGAATGTGATCCTTGTCGCGGATGGCAGCGCGCCTTGTCTTCAGAATAAAGGCCACCGAGCCCTCCGAAGGGACATATCTACATCACGGAATGAGAGACCAGGTCGCAAACAATTCGGCCCTTACCCGTCAGCGTCCGAAGTAAATGTAGCACATCGGCTGTTGGGGGATGTCATCCCTTGCGCGGTAAGGAACCTTTGAGTGTGATTTAACAGGATACGGCGGACGCTACGAGTAATCTTACATGAAAGATCCGGGCCAGCAATGGGTATTGCTCGAACATACAATGGCTGACTCGCCGGCACCGGATTGAAGGTATGTGGCCGCTGCGACCGAATTAGCAGGAGTTTGGCCCAACCGACAAGGATTACACACCTTGGTCCATGCACACGATTCCGCCGCTGCATGCCGTATCGATAGTGAGGGAGGGCCCATGTACATCGAGGAGACTACAGGGATATAATATCGATGAGTCCATCAAGTCAAAAGATCCTACCGCAGTCACTCAACTAGCTGATTCGTCCGCTTGCGGTACTTGGTGCACGCCCCGTCCCGTAGAATCGAGTGTATGCTGACCGTCAGCCAGGAAGCACACAAAAACACTCGCTCGAACGTACCACCATAACCATGCGCTGCATGGAGCAACGTCTCAAATCCGTCGTCCTTAGTCGCAACATACACCGCCATTTTGGACCCCTTGACCTTCGAGACGGGGATGTTGGCATTCTCCAACGCCTCAAATGCAACTTCGAGAGCTAGCCGCATCGTTGGGGAGACGTAGAACGCCTCAGTGGCGGTCAGGCCGAAGAAACTGTGATCGTAGCTCGCTGCATCCACAAGTCCGGCTCGGCGGAAAGAAATATCGCGCGGGAAAAAGCTGGCGTGGTCCCACCGATCCGGCGGTATCTCAGCGATTATGGAGCCGTTCTTGCCTAAGAGTGCGTCCCGCAGAGCCGCATGATTATCGACGCCCCCTGGCAGTCGGAAAGCCTTGCCGACGATGACAATGTCGTCTTTGAGCTCAACCGTCTGATCACTGTCAGCTAATCCTCCTGGGGCGTTGTATTTCGGCCCAAGCAGCTCAACGACGGCTTCGATCAAGGATGGGAGATTGAGGTGGATGTAGCAGATGTTCAATGGAAGCATGATTCGGCCTTCCAGAGCACTGTTCAACACGCTCGCGATGCTAACGGCCAACAGGGAAGTCAGGCCGAGCTTGACGAAGGACAAGTTAGTACGCAGCCGTAGAGGGTTGGATTAGAAATTACCTCGGCAAAGGACATGGAATTCAGCATATCCGGGTCGGTGACGCCCAGGGCCCTGCTCACGATATGAGTTATGGCATTCTCAACTATAATAATAAAATCAAATCAGGCGTCGTTCCCCACGGAGAGAAGGAAGCGGACCTTGCCCAAGAGACTCATCTGGATGCAGATCTGCGGCGTGCATGGCTTCCATTGTGGTTCCAAACATGCCTTCTATCTTCTTGCGGAAGATCTCCCTCTTGCGCGTCAACGGTATCGTCTGGGTGTCCTCCAGAATCAGAACGGAAGACGGCGCAATGCGGACCGCGGGAAGGAGACCGCCATTGATCGGCGCGAGCACGCGCGCGACTTCAAGTCGAGGAGCGCGACCATCCAGTTGCGCCGTGCCCTTATCAGGCGCCTTCTTAAGTTCGATGATGGCACAGACGGCGGTCGACGGGCCTTTCAGAAACATATTCCCGATGACGCATGCCTGGTGGATGAATTTAGATGCACAAAGGGCTCGCTCGATTGGGCGCGGATCCAGAGTCTCGCTGCTGGTCATCTAACCGGAATGTCTGAACGAGCCACGGTGGATGCAGCTCGTGGACGCACCTGTATAAAATCCGTGGTCCTTCCGAGCCACTCGAATTTATTGTCCGCGGTGCGGCTGTATCGATCTCCAGTCCGGAAGGTCACCCATCCATCTCGATCGACAGCGAACGAACCATCGTCGTAGTTGATATAGCCCTGCGGGATCAACTTGCTCTTGATGACGAGCTCGCCCTCTGCATCCAATCAGCAATTTTTTTGGGGGGAAGAACAAAGAGGTATTTACCGGGTGCATTTCCAAGCAAAAAGAACTGCGCATCCGAGATGAGGCCCTCGGGTGAGAATCCAGAAAAGGCATCTCCAGCGCGCCCTGCGAAAATGGCGCCGCCCGTTTCCGTCATCCCGACCCCGACAAAGCGCGGGA